TGCTTAAAGGGACCATTTACAGGACCCCCACCCGTTTCAAATAAATAAACTTCAGCCAACTGCCAAATCAGTAGTAAACTCATGCGACTTCGGGAACTTGAAGCCTGGAACAATCATAACGGGTGAGGGTTTTGGTCACACCTTATATAGTATAGGTGTCGTTTGAGGTTTGGGTGACTGGGGTCCCCAAGTCCAGTTCCACAGTGTAGCGGAACTGATGGAGGGGGAGTTCCAAGGAGTCTCAGTTTGGGCTTGTGGATATGGATTTGTGTTCAAAATGGTGGGTATTGTATTTCAATGCATTTCAATGCATTTCAATGCATTCCAATGCATTTCAATGTATCTCAATGTATCTCAATGTATTTCAATGTATTTCAATGTATTTCAATGTATTTCAATGTCTTTCAATGTATTTCAATGTATGTCAATAGAAGTCAATGTATTTCAATGTATTTCAATGCATTTCAATGCATTTCAATGTATTTCAATATATGTCAATGTATGTCAATCTATGTCAATGTATGTCAATGGATGTCAATGTATGTCAATAGAAGTCAATGTATGTCAATGTATTTCAATGTATTTCAATGCATTTCAATGCATTTCAATGCATTTTAATGTATTTCAATGTATTTCAATGTATGTCAATGTATTTCAATGTATTTCAATGTATTTCAATGTATTTCAATGCATTTCAATGCATTTCAATGTATTTCAATGTATTGCAATGCATTTCAATGCATTTCGATTTATTTCAATGTATTTCAATGTATGTCAATAGAAGTCAATGTATGTCAATGTATTTCAATCTATTTCAATGCATTTCAATGCATTTCAATGTATGTCAATGGAAGTCAATGTATGTCAATGTATGTCAATGTATTTCAATGCATTTCAATGCATTTCAATTTATTTCAATGTATTTAAATGTATATCAATGTATTTCAATGTATTTCAATGTATTTCAATGCATTTCAATGCATTTCAATGCATTTCAATGCATTTCAATGTATTTCAATGTATTTCAATGCATTTCAATTTATTTCAATGTCTTTCAATGTCTTTCAATGTATTGCAATGTATTTCAATGTATTTCAATGTATTTCAATGCATTTCAATGCATTTCAATGTATTTCAATGTATGTCAATGTATGTCAATCTATGTCAATGTATGTCAATGGATGTCAATAGAGGTCAATGTATGTCAATGTATTTCAATGTATTTCAATGCATTTCAATGTATGTCAATGGAAGTCAATGTATGTCAATGTATGTCAATGTATTTCAATGCATTTTAATGCATTTCAATGTATTTCAATGTATTTCAATGTATTGAAATGTATTTCAATGTGTTTCAATGTATTTCAATGTATTTCAATGCATTTCAATGCATTTCAATGTATTTCAATGTATTGCAATGCATTTCAATGCATTTCGATTTATTTCAATGTATTTCAATGTATGTCAATAGAAGTCAATGTATTTCAATGTATTTCAAATGTATTCCAAATGTATTTCAATGCAT